TTTATGTTTATGTTTTTGTTGTTGTACTAGACATTTAATGCTACTTATATTTTGATATTATAAGCTATAAGGCTACAAATGATGTTGTTGTCATTTTTTTTTTTGTAATTTCAAATATTTTGCTTTGATTGCTTTCTTAATTTTTATGTATGATTTATAAATTATGATGTTGTGTCCGCGTCGTACCCGTATCCTGTATTTTTAAGAATTGACGTGTCCCGTATCCGTATCATGTCGTATCCGTGTCGCCGTATCCGTATCGGTGCAACATAGCCTGCACCTTATGCTGATCCATAGGAATACCATCCCCACTAATTACATGACCCAGAAAAGATAAACTCTTCAGCCAAAACTCATATTTGGAGAACTTAGCATACAATTCATTTCCTATTAAAGTTTGCAACATTGCCTTAAGAAGATTGATATGATGCTCTTCATCACAAGAATAGATCAGAATGTCATTTTCGAAGACGATGACAAAAATGTCGAGTATTGACCCGATTCATCATATCCATAAAAGCAGCTGGGGCATTTGTTAGCCCAAAAGGTAACACTGTGAACTCGTAGTGTCTATACCTTGAGCTAAAAGCTGTCTTAGGGATGTCTACCTCCTTAATCCTCAACTGATAATATCCAGACCTCAGATCAATCTTGGAGAAGACTGTGGCTCCCACCAGTTGATCAGATAAATCATCTATCCTCGGCAAAGGATACTTGTTCTTAATGGTAAGCTTGTTCAACTCTCGGTAATCAATGCAGAGTCGCATGCTTCCATCCATTGTTTAAAATTGCGCAACATGAGGCTAGCCTTGAGGCCCGCCTTTGCGCAATTCCAGTGAAAAACGCCTCAAGGCTTACGCCTCGAGTTTCTTTTATGAGGCTTACGCCTCAACTTTGCTGAGGCCCGCCTTGAGGCTCGCCTCGCCTCACTGGCGTGAGGCTTACGCCTCACCCTTATATATGTATGTATATCATGGTTTAAAATTTGCGCAATAAGAGGCGCACATCAGCGCAATTTTAGACAAAAAGACTTGGTTAGAAAATATTAGGAATGACCTTTCTTTATTAGGTTTAAATGAGAATTTGACTTTTAATTGAACACAATGGAGAAAAAGGATTCATGTAGCCGACCCCACGTAGTGGGATAAAGGCTTGATGTTGTTGTTGTTGTTTTGTTGTTGTACTAATTACCAAGGTTTAAAATTGCACAATTGGGTATTGAGGCGTTTTTTGTTTGTAGGGCGAGGCGTAAGTCTCAAGGTATTTTGAGGCGTAAGCCTCAAAATGTAAAAATTGTGTATAGTCAAAATGTTTTTTTTTTATAATAACCAAACAATAGATCAAAAGATGAGAAATAAATTGTCATATATGTGAAGCAGAAAAACGCATAAGACATAAGGTGTAAAGTAATAAACTGCATCAAATTTAATTGAAATCCAAACATCACAATAACCAAACAATATAAAATGTTGTTTAACTCCTAATCATATATTTCTCTATCTTGCTCATCGACAATTAAAAAAAGAAATATTAATGGCATAACAACGTAGAAGTCGTCTACACTGTCATCACTGAGGGGTCTTTATTTGAATCATCGTCATAATGAATTGCTCTCTCCCCTACTTCATTACTTGTGGAGTCCAATACCTGATAATATACTTTTTCTTCCTTTATAGTAGTTATTTTCCTCCAATCTCTCAAACATGAGGCATTCCGGGTAAGACCTCAGGGAACGCATCAGGAAAGTCCCTTACCATAACAATCTCCTTCTACTCTGGTACTTGTTTTGAAGTGTCCCTTATATGAGCTAGAAAGCTTGGGTACCCTTTCAAAATTAAACTACAAGCTTTCATAGATGAGATGATCATAGAGGATACACCTCGATCGCCTTGAAAGACAAGCTTCTCTCCTCCAGGAAGCTTGATTTTCACTACTTTCTTATTACAGTCTTTGGAGATGAACTGGCTAGACATCCAATCCATCCCTAGAATCACATCAAATTCTATGAGTGGTAATACAATCAATTCAACATCAAAATCCCTCTCACATAAGGAAAGTAGTGGTGAACATACACTTTAGGCAATCATGCTAGACCCATCAGGTAGCAAAACTGATAGTATAGTGGGCATAGTGTAGACATTCAATGCATGCTTCTTAACAAACTCCTGACTAATGAATGAATGTGATACTCTAGTATAAAAAAACACTCTACTAGGTAGACATTGAACATGAATAATACCTGTGATCACATCAGGAGATTATTTGGCTTCTTGCTGCGTGATAGCATAGACCCTTGGTTGCACAACAGGTCTCGTAGTCGGATGACTAGGTATCGATGCCGATGTAGAAGACTCTTGAGCTTTAGGTCTACCACCTATCGGATGTCTCCCAGTACTCTGCTGAGGTGGACGAGCACTAGATCTCCCCTCCTTTGGACCCCTTGGGCAGTTCCTAGCCATGTGCCCTAGCTGATTTTACCATAAACAAACATTGGAGCCAGACAAACATTCGCCTCTGTGCAACTTGCCACACTTATCACATGTTCTGACACTGGATGAACTCCCACCACTATCAGATCTAGCCTTCTTCATACTAGGTCCTCCAAAGTGTGTCTGGAAGCTCCTGGTCTTCTCAAAACCCTTCTTTTTTTAAAGGAAATCCTTTCGCTTCTAAGTAGCATGAAAATCAATCTCTATCCTCCTTGCTCTCTCAACTAAAACAGATTAATCATCAAGGCCAAAAGGAATCAATGGCTGACGAATCGCATCATGAAGCCTTGACAAAAATCTATGACATTTGTCTTCAGCCCTTGGGATAATTTGAGATGCATAACGGGACAACATAGTAAACTCAGCTTCATATTGCATAATCGTACGATCTCCTTGTACTAACCAAATGAATCGCTTCTGCATCTGCCTCCTCGCAGAAAGAGACACAAACCATTCTCTGAAGACTCTAACAAAATCATCACATAAAATCTGAGATGCTGCTTTGCCACCAAATTTCTACAACAACTGTCCTCTCCACCATCTTTCAGCTTCACCATCCAATACAAAGGTAGCTAAAGTCACCCTCCGATCAGTCGGACAATGCATACCTTTCAAAATCTTCTCGACCCTCATAAACTAGTTTTCGGCATCAATTGGCTCTCCTACTCCCATAAAGAGAGGTTGTCGCATGTCCTAAAAGATTTTCAGATACTTGTCTACAGATGCCTCTCTCCTGGAACTAGACTAAGGCTGCTCTTGAGAATGATGAATTAACTATGTCACAACCGCCATCATCTGTGTAAAAGTGTCTATGGTAACACTGCTGCTACCACCAAGAGGTTGTACCACAGATGGTATCGCCGGAACTTCTCTCCGAGCCTGTTCATTGTTTCCATCAGTGGCATCGGGCTCTTGATCCATAGCCCTAAACCAAATAAAAATTTCCAATTAAAAAAACATCGTATAAACATACACCCTAAAATGTCAAAGACACATAAAGCATCCTAATGACACTTTATATTGATCCATATTAGCTTGGCTCTTATACCAGTCTTGTCATGACCTGGCCCGGTGAGCTCGTATAAACAGGCGGGAACGAATGTCAGACATTCAGAACATTAAATTTTCTTAAAACATGCATTGAAGAATCTAAAATACTTCAAAAGGAAACTAAAAGCGCCTCTAAACAATTTTCCAATGTAAACTAAGAATTTTATATCATTGCATAAAAAGTGTCAAATATATAAAGGTGGCTATAATATCTTTTTCATGCCAAACCACCCAAAATCATTTAAACTACAACTAAAAAGAATATAAGAGGAACCTGTCATCCGATCCTCTACGACTGTAAGCATACCAAGGTCGGTCAGCCATTTCTAGCAGTGGGGTCTTCTGAAAAATATCCCAAAACAAGAGAGTGAGCTAACACTCAGTAAATGACAGTTAAATCTAAAGTTCATGTGCATTATAGAGGAAAAACAATATGCAAGTTGGTAACATATGCATCTATGTCTCAATGTCATATGCTTAGTGTATGTCAAATGCCATGTGCTATGTTTAACATGATGTCTATTGTATCACATGCTTAACATGAGGCCTATTATATCATATGCCAATCATCTTAATTTAAAATTCTCATTAATCGCTCATTCTCTAAATTCCCCTTTCTATTTATTTTACCTAAGCCATTAATTATCTTTTTAACATGAATTTTTGGATTTAATTAAAATCCAAAATTTTGGAACATAAAATTGTTCATAATCCCTTCCAATTAGTATTCAAAACATTTTCCCTAACCTATATCATTCTTAAAACTAATTATTTTCGGATTAAAATAATGTGGAATACAAATTGATCATTGACTTCTGAAATCTTTTTGTGACATTGACATGCAGCTGATGACAAGGGCAGTGCAGTTATTCTTCTTTAAATTACTAGCAAGATTAATGTATGCGTTGAAGTTTTTGGCAAAAACAATGTCTGGTAAAGATTAGCCACATGAATAAACCAACTGAAAATAATCATTACCTGAAATTTTTGAGCTAATGAATTCATTAGCTATAATGTTATTTGTTTTATAATTGTCTAATAAATGTGGTGTTAGGCTCAGGTGTTATTTTATCTATCTTTAATTTTCCTTGATTTTGGACCGAGTGTGATATTGGATGTAATCAAGAGAGAGAGTGAGATAGAGAGCATGGAATCCAAAATATCTAGCTTTCTGGCAAGGAAGCTGCTAGGATATCTTACAGAAATAAGAATGTTTTGAAACTCTTATCTTTTTTTCATCCGTCCTTCCATTCTTCTGCTTTTCTTTATAAATTCGCATTCCTAAGTATTTTCAACAATTGCTATAGCTTGCAGCAAGTACGAACTTCTAATAATTTATGAGCCACTTCTTATTTTCAACTACAGAATTTTTGTGGATGTAGGCAATTCTATTATTTCCTTAGTTCACGGAATTTTGAATTATTATTTTCTTTAACCATCTAATCCTAAATTGTTATTCAGGTTATTGATGAGTGTCTTCGTGCAGCATCTGGATTCAAGGGAGCAGATGATCTTTTAGAGTTTAGACTATTGGATATACAACTTATGTCTAATACAACCAGAGAGAAGAGGGTTGCTTCTGCCCCTTCATATGAGTTGGATATCTCAAATTCCCCAAATAAATATCTTACAGATTACTCTTCAGCGGTTAAGCAATGGTCTGAGGTTATCCAAAAGCACCTCCCCCTTGCTTTATGCCATGGTGCACCTGTGGTAAGTATATCTTTTGGAATGCTCATGGTTGTATATTTTATTCCCGAAACAATAATATTTTAAGGCATCAGTAATCTGATAGGAAGATCTTTAGGAATATGTTATTTAATAAATTTTCATTTTGTCATGCCATTTATATAATGAATTGTAAAGTTAATGCAAACAATTCAAGTTCAGCCAATACACAGATTCAGCATATAGCAATACAAGGCACCATTGCATTTTAGCACTTTCAACCTCTCCCTGCTACATCCCCACACACAAAAAGAACATGTGATGTTGGATATCATAAAAAGGTGATGTGCTGATGCAGTGAATTGGAAGGTTTTACATCTTATTTAACCGTATAAAGATTTAATTTCATACTGAACGAGGATGTATTAACTTAATTACTTCCTTGTCATTTGAAGTTCATTGTGTGAAATGTTGTACATTTTATTGACCCATGCTGCTTCTTCATTGTAAGAAAACGACAAAAAGGAAAGCTTAAATAAGAGAAAGTTTTGGAATAAATAGTTAAGCTGACATTCGCTTGCATTAATCACTTGGAAAGATAATTTTTATTCTCTCCAAAGGTTTTCATTTCAGAACCTTATTTCTTTAATAAAATGGATCTGTATACTATGTGTGTGAAAGCCTATTGCTCAAAGCATAAGAGGCTTACATAAACACACGAATGTCTGCTTACCAATTTATTGGTTGTCAGCTTATAAATATTGAGGCAAGAATTTAAGTTCTGAACTTTTGCAATACACATGCTATTCATGAAATATAGTTTTGTTGAGGCTCCTTTCTTTATCTATCTCCTCTTTTGTGCACTACCTTTATTACTTTTTTCATATTCAATTCTCTAACTTGATCAAAAGCCTCCTACTCTTTCTGTTTATGGAACATAAATGTCATGTTTTATTAGGGCCCTTTTCTTCTCAAGGTGAAATTGTTTTGAACCTTGTAAAAATGATGAGCAATTTTTTTTGAAATGTAACCTATTGAACATATAATATTTGAAGTCTCACACCTGCATAGCTATTTGATCTATGGGTACGTAGGAGAATTATGTAATAATAATTTGAAAATAACTAGATGCAAAAACAACTAATTCTCAGGCCCCTCATGTCGAATCTTCAAGACATTGATCTAAGGAAAGAAAACCATAAATGCCAAAAACAAGGTCAATAAAAAAATTGCTTCAGAATCTTCCCTACTTCAATAATAAATAATGAAAGATCTTACTCTAGATCCTATATATATCAATAAAATAAAACCCTAATTATGGTTCAAAGTATCCACATAATTATTACATTTTTAAAATAAAAAAAAATAAAAACAAAATTTGTCCAAAAATGATTATATGTCCATAAAAACATTAAAACCAACCTTTTTCAGTTTTTTGTTTTTTGTTTTGACTAATGCATATTCACTAGAGTAACAATGTTTTTTGTTAGTTGACTAAATCATATTCACTAGAGTAACAAAGTTTTTTGTTCAGAGTGATGGTGAAATAGATGGGGATATTATCAGCAGAATTTAAGTTGGATGGTTGAAGTAGAGGAATGCATCGGGCTTGTAATGTGATAGAAATGTACCCCTCAAACTTAAGGGAAAATTCTATAAGATGGTAGTGAGGCTTGCAATGATTTATGGTGCCGAATGTTGGCCATTAAAAGAGAAGCATAATACTAAGTTAAGTGTGGCAGAGATGAGGATGCTCAGGTGGATGAGTGGCTTTACCATTATAGATAGGATACAAAATGAGCATATACGTGAAAAGGTTGGAGTAGCTCCAGTAGAAGATAAGATTAGAGAGAGTCGCCTTAGATGGTTTTGTCACATAAAAAGGCGGCCTTCCGATGATCCGGTTAGGAGACTAGAGGTATTAGATTTGACTTGTGTTAAGAAAGGTAGGGGTAGACCTAAAAAGACTTGGTTAGAAAATATTAGGAATGATATTTCTTTATTAGATTTAAACGAGAATTTGACTTTTAATAGGATAGGAGAAAAAGGATTCATGTAGCCGACCCCACGTAGTGGGATAAAGGCTTGATGTTGTTGTTGTTGTTGTTGAGTAAATCATATTCATTAGAGCAACAATGGTTTTTGTTAGAAGCTGTGAAACTTTTTGAAGGTAGACAATATCTTCATTTTATTAGAATGCTTATAGAATTTCCGGTTGCTACTATTAGAGATGTTAACAAAAGAAATAGAAGCATATCTGGACCTACATAAAATTCACATGTAGAAATGATAACAGTAAATGCTATAGGGTTGAAGATGCCTTGACTTAGTGATAGAATTGCATCATAAAAATGAGAACTAATATTAATGTTAAAAAGTAGAGCACATGCAAACACAATAGTTTCTTGTTGACTACCAATGTAATAATACTTTATGGCTTTGGTAGATGAATAGAGTGCAATCTATGCATAAATGATGAACAAAATCACAACCATTCTTGAAAAAAAAAAAATTCAAACATTATAAAGAACTTGCATGACAACCATACATGCTTTTCATTCTGTATAACAAAACTTATTTGAAAATTAATAGGTTATTCATGCGAATGCTCAACTCACAATGCAACAAAATATATAGCATGCATGCCGAGGAAACACTGTACCTACTAGCTGTTTGGTGGTTAAGTATTGAGGAGGCGAGTCAGAGTAAGATTTGGATTCGAATCTAGAGTTAGTTTAAACTTTTAGATTCAAATATTCAATTTTTATTTCTATTTTAGATTCAATTTCAAAATTTTCTGGAGTCATAGTAGAAGATATGTATTTAGAACATTGAACTGGATTAGGTTTGTATTTAGACCATTGAACCAGATTAAACTCTCCATTGCATCTAGAGGATGTTGTGGTTGCTTGCCCTTGCTAGCCCTCAAAGTTGCCACTTCATCCATCACTAGTGCTATATTCGAGACTAGTGAACTAACTCTTGAAACACCACAACTACCTCCAATTTGTGAACACATAGATGATAAGGTTTCTTAGCATTTTCTAATTCTTATTGGAGTATTTAGAGATTTAGAGTATCCATTCATTGGTGGATTGGAGGTTTTAAATTTGATTTACTAAAAGGGGCATAAATTAAAACAAAATATTACCACTTGCGTGCATTCACAAGGCTATAAACATGACAACTCAATGAGTATTTTTGTAGTTTTCATGATCCATAGGATTCTTCATCCTTGGTTTTCATGTTAACTTTTTTTGGCTATTGTAATTTTTTTCTTCTCAAGCAAATCTTGGTAATTGTCTTTTTTGTACTCATATCATTATTTGGTTATAATATTTTGCTTTAAGAAAAAATATACTTGGTGATACTGATGGTGAACCGTCTCCACCTTTCTCTATGGGCCCATCTCGCTTCCTAGGCTTCTTTGCTCCCTTTGCTGGTGTTGTCCAATGTCGGCATCAAGGCTTTGCCTTGAGTTCTATTTTTACCTACGCCTCTCTGCAGCCATCTCCGGATGTTACCACAATTGTCAATGGTTCTTATGGCCCCTCATGCCGAATCATTCCATAGGCTAGCGCGCAACATCCCATCACTTAATACTCTTTTTTTTTTATGACAATGTTTGGGCATGGTTCTTTGTAGTTGGATATATCTGTCAATTTTCATTTATCCTTTTGGCATGGCACGATCTTTGATAGTCACAAACTTCCCAATATATTTCATATTAAAAGCTTTCACTTTTTTTTTTCGAGGTTGAGATTGTAGATATGGAAGAACCTTTTGTACGCTTTGGCTGTTTAATGCCTGATCTTGGAGAGTATTCATACTCATATGTGTGATATTCATTTGGATGATTACTCTATTGTACTTCTTGATTGACATCACGTGTTTGTCAAATTATCTTTAGACACAAATTTTTTAGGACATTTTTCTTGGTCTTCATATGATATGTATGTTTTACAATTGCATGTATTAAAAATGGTCTTCATAGTTTGATACTTCTAAGGAGCCTTTTATTACACTTGTATGGGTTGCTTTCCCTCATATTCAGTACTACGACAATCTAGCTACATTATACTCTATGGTTTCAATTTTTAGCAAACCAATAAAAGTGGATAATGTTATCTACTTTCTTGACCATCTATGGCTTGTGTTCTTGTTGAAATAGACATTTGAATCCCTTTGTCTTGGGAGGTATGGATTCGAACTTTTTATGCGATGATTAGAAAAAGTGGAATTGAAGGTTTGCTAAAATATGCATTTTCTTGATGATGGCATGTTCACGTAAGATTTATTTGTGGTGAATAATCATGATCAAATGGAGTGTACCAATTTGTTGCCTACTGTCTAAACCTTGGTCCCATGGGTTGTCATGCACTGGAAACTTTTATTGAGTACATTTTTTTTTGTTTGTTCCATCCCTTGATGCTGATAGTTTGTTGGATGTTAGCATTCCACTAAACCTTGTTTTTTGATATCATCAAGTTGGTTGTTGAGCCAATTGATTCTTCAAGAGTCCATTTGGTGATCCATCAGTTCCTTCTACTCTTTCTCCTTCATATCAAGCGCTACAACTATATTTCCAAATTGTTGTCGGCAGGGGGGGGTGTCAAAATAAGTTGAGTTGAAAATTTTGTAAGTTTTCTTCTTGAGTCAGCTCATTAATTGGCTTCTACTTATATTTCAGCTCATAATGTGGCTTTAATTAGGTTCATTCCCCCCCATGTGGCCCCTTGATTTCCTCCCCTTGGTTCCTTCCCCTTTCCTTGGACTCTTCGGTTTGCTCCCTGGCTATTTTCCCATGATTGCCTCTACCCGGTTCCTGTGCTGCCTTTTCGGTTTGCTCCCTGGCTGCTTTCCCGTGGCTCCTCTACCCGGTTCCTGTGCTGCCTTTTTGGCTGCTTCCCTGGCTTTTTTACCAGGTTCCTGTGCAGTCCCTTCGGTTTCCTCCCTGGTGGCTGCTTTCCCGTGGCTGTTTTTCCCATATTTCCTGTGCCTTTTTAGGTGCTTATTCTGGAATGAATTGTGACTGTTTGGGAGCTGTTTTCTGCTCCTTTTGGTGGCTTTTCAAGTCCTGTTTTGGTCAGAACTTTTGGCCTTCTAGTTTCCATAACTTATTGGGTTAATTAGTATGTGATATGGATGTTTGGCTACCATCTTTTATCCTATATATATGTGATGTTTAGATAGTTTTTGGAGAGTGTTATGATGTGGTTTTTGGAGCCTAAACCTACGGGTTTTGTCGTGGAAAAGCTTGTGAGCTTGTTCCGTTTCTCTCTTCTTTTAGGAAAGCTTGCGAGCTTCTCCTCCTTCGTCTCGGACTTCTTATCTCGATCTTCTCTCCGCAAGTGTCCACCTCACATGTATCATTCTTCTCAAAGCAAATGAAATGCAAGCTTAGGTTTTTATTATATAAGTTTGTTATGTGTCCTAATTTTTGCTTGCATCACAAATGCTACTTATCATTGTTATTGTTAATGTTTCAAGTTCTATCTAGTTCTTCTTTTGTGGATAAAAGATCTTGTGATCTCTCATCGAGGCACAACATTTTTTTTATTCTCCCGAGTTTACTAAATTCCAAGATCAACACAATGGCTCCTTATGAATTTTGCATTCTCAACCTAGTATTGCTGCTGCACCTCCATGCTTGACCTCCTCATTTTTGCTCGCTCACTGCTTGCCCCATTCCGCTTGCCTACTATCCCTTGCTTGCTAACTCTTACTTTGTTTCTTTTTTTTGGTCACTTGCTTGGTTCCTTTTTTAAAGTCTGCATTATGTTAGTTCAATTATACTGACATAATAGCTCAGTTTTTTTTTAATTTAAATTTTGTTATTATTACCTGATAAATTTCTTATTAATGTCTTTAAATAAATAATAATTTGGGATCTTTACACTCAACCCTTTTGTTTCCTGTATTGACTCTTATGGGTTGCCTTTGAGAAACTGATCCTATTTAAATGAATTGGTTGAATGGTCAGATAATACTGATGTTAATGTATCACTATGTTTTCTAATTAAAGAAACAAAGGCTTGTAGTGAATTCTTTTTTTCCCCTCCATTTATTTTGGTTCAGATCTTTCATTTTTCCATGTATAATTCACCTTTGAGGCTGCCCAGCATTTAACCTTCATAACATTTATGTCAAGTGGGTCAAAACATGTTAAATTTTTCTTATTAGCTGCATTTTTTTACGTCATTTTATGAGCATTTGTTTATTTTGTATGATAGGTGAGGGTTGCAGCATTTAATTGTTTTGCCGGATTGACTTCCTCAGTATTTTCTATGCTGAACGATGATATGCAAGAAGCAATTATATCTTCTGCTGTATGTTCTGCTCACCTATATTAGATATCATTTCCTTAATTGAGAAGAAGGTGGAAAAGGAGATGCTATGCCTGCTAGTATGATGACTTTTTAAATTATCATGGTCAGGTTTCAGCAGCACTAGGCGATGAGGTTCCATCCATCAAATCAGCTGCTTGTCGAGCAATTGGTGTTCTGGCATCTTTCTCACGAATTGTTTATAAGTACGTAGCAAATAGTATTTTTTTTATTATTTTGCAAAGTTTTCGCGATTGGTAGTCTGCAGATATGGAATTGTTTTTGCAGTGGATGTTTGCTGAATAAACTTATTCGTGCAGCCGAGTTTAACACCCATGATTCTACAGTCTCGGTACCTACATCTTATAATATGGTCCTTAAACACTGTTTTTCTTTTAGTTATGATTTTGGGCCTTTGTTCTTGATCCAAATATATATTTTATAATTTTACCTGATCATTGTCATGTCTGCTGTTCAGGTGCGTATAACTGCTTCCTGGGCATTAGCTAATATTTGTGATTCTCTTCGTTATAGAGCAATTGAGCTGCAATTAGAGTTAAGCACAGGTAGATTTTGTGGTCATATAATGGGTCTTTCATTGCTTGTTAGCATAAGGTTCATCATATTCAATTTGTAAGTTGCAGATGATACGGGTGGATTTGAAGCACTCTCTCTTATTGTTGAAACTGCTTTGCAATTGACAAAAGATGGTGATAAGGTGTGGATTTTAACTTTAAGATGCCTCATTAGCGGGTTCTTGATCTATTTAGTATCTGACGTAATACAATCTTTGATGCTTGTGTTGGATTGCAACAACACCTTGTTGTAGTGTACTGAAAGGTTGTTTATGTATACAGTTTTTTTGTGCTTCTTGTTCTACCTAATGCTGACACAATCATGTTATATGAGAGTGGGATTATATTTGTAATTTTATTTGTTAGGGTTGGTGTTGGGGGTGGGGGGTTGTTATGTGAAGTGGGGTTATTTTGTTTTTTTTATTTTAGGGCTTAGGCTTTATTAAAATCGCCTACATGTTGTTGTTTATGTGAAGGGGGGTTATTTTGTATTTTCTTATTTTTTTAAGTTTTAGGGCTTGAGCCATATTTAAATCCCCTGCATATTGTCGTTTACTCATTCATTGGATAAGAATCTTATTAGTTTTACTTTTCTATATGAGGATTCCCTTATTCATGGAGCATTTGAGAAGTGGAGGTTGTAGTAGAGTCTTGTACCTTTCCACAATTTATCAACTAGATCTCTGCTGCTCTCAAGTTCAATCACATTTCCTCATGTTGTGAAATCCTAAATGCAATCACCATATTCGCTGTTTGTTAAGTGCGTGTATATGTCTGTATATAAAAATCTTGAAATCTAATTTCTTATTGGCTTTTACCATTTGGGCAACACTATATGAAGCAGGTTAAGCAGACAAAGTTGAATATGGTGGAAGGTGCTCGAGTGATTAGCAGGAGGGGCCTCTATTAGAAATTTGAGTGGAAGCACTGTCGATTTGCTTTTAGGTGTGAGGAGGGAGTGCAGTGGATACGGGAATGTTTTACTAGTGATAATATTGGATATGAGTGTTTCTTGAAGAGAAGTGGCATATAGGATAAAAGAAGATTGAGTTGTTCAATTCGGTTATTTATGTTATTTTATTCCATCCAGCCTACGGAGAACCAACTATTTGATGGAGCACAGTAAGCAATAAAAAGGTCATTTAATTTATTCCATTAAATCCCTTGAAACGGAGAACGAAACTATAATTTTCTTTTTTGGGGTTGCAGTACTTATAAACAGTTCTATTTTGTTTAGTCATGTTGAAATTCTCCATTTCATGCTGATCCTAACTCACACCTCTAAAAATCTTGATGGCCCACAGACTTTCTTGGAAAGAATGCTTTAGACTTTAATACTTGACGTTATATTGCTTGCTTGCGTTCTTCTATTTAACCAGGTTGTCATTCAATTTAAAGTTTTGCAGCGTGCCTTCAAAATTCTCGTGACCATCATTGGGCACATTGCTGGTCAATGCATGATGGGAATGTAGCTTGTTCCTTTCAATATCCTGTTTGTTTATTCATTTAATGTTCTATATAACAATATAAAAATTATTTCTTAGATCAAATCAAATGCTGTGAGGGCTCTTGGGCATATATCAAGGTTTCTGAGTTTCAACTGTTACTCTACGCCAAATGAAGTGATCATGACTCCCAATGAGTCATACCGTGCAGCTAAAAACCTTGAATTCTCCACGACTAACTGCTGCAAGGAAAATAGCTCACCAGTATTTACAAGCAATGGTTCTAGTAGTGCTAAGTTTGGAGACCCTCGGTGGCTTGAAAGAATGGTACAAGCCTTTCTTTCATGTGTAACAACTGGAAATGTAAAGGTAACTAGCTCTCTCTCTACATTTCGCTGTTGATAGCTTTTAAAGTTATTAATGTTAAGTCTCATGTTTTGTTTTTTGGCTGAATTAAATACAAGTCCACGATGTTAGAAATTCTTTATCTTGCGCCCTGAAGTCTTTTTGTATTACTAGTTTGTCCCTGAGATAAAATTCTGGTTTACATGTTTCTTTTTTAGAATTTGCATCTATCCTTTTAATTGGCTCCCCATATGACTTAATTTTTAATGCTGAAAATTTGTTGACTAGGATAACCTTATTGTCCTAATCTATGGCCACAACTGATTTCATTGGAAAATAGTCCTTTGGTTTTCTCCATTTAATTGGCTGGACCAGCTGGATGGATATGACCGGCAAGCTCATCGGCATATGTTCAGAAAGATACATACTTGTTTGTCGTTGCAAGCACAAACCACCTGATTGATAACGTGATTAAAAGAGTATTTTCGACACTCCTCCGACACGTGTCGGACACGCCGCAAACTTGTCCGATTAAAAAATATTAAATGCAAATTGGAAACGCGTATCTTAAATATTTTATAATTTTTTTTTAAATATAATTTCTTGTATTTTGCGGGATTTCTTATTTCCTATCCATAACACAAAATCAACGTCCGCACTTAATTCCCAATCATCGAATATTCTCATTTTCATTTCTTTTTGGCAGTGAAGATATTTTTATCTCCTCTCTCGGTGACTGATAAATGGCATCGACACCTGACTCTCGACGTCTGAAATATTAATTGTTGTTTTTTGAAACTTACCAAAAAAAGCTAATGTACATGCTCGGTACTGCTAGGTATCGCTAGGTACATGCTCAGTACCGCTAGGTATTGCTAGGTACCGCTTAGTACATGCTAGGTACCGCTAGATACCTAGTTATCATGAAATTGATTTATTATTGCTTGTCATTTTTAATATAATGTCACCTTAATTTCTATATATTATATTAAAAATTATTATGTCGTGTCCACGTCGCACACGTGTCCTATATTTTTAAAAAATGCCGTGTCCCGTGTCCGTGTCGACGTGTCCGTGTCGGTGCATCATAGGTTGCTAGAGAAAGAAGAAGATCAAACAGACATGATACACAAAATGATAACTTGATTAACTAAATATCTAAGAACAACTTTAAAATGGTTCATTTGGATGTCCTTGGTAATCTGGTAAGAGGCGTACTAGAAATGGTATAGGTGTGATTTTACATAAGAGTTTAAAGGATAATGTTATAAAAATTAATAGAATTGGACATAGAATTGTAGCTTTAAAGATTATTAGTAATGCTAAGATTATTAATATTATTAGTGTTTATGCTTCTCAAGTAGGTTTGGATGTGTTCAAAATTAAAATTTTGGAATGACCTAGAAGAATTAATACAAAAGATACCTCTCAAAGAAAAAAAATTTATTGGAGGAGATTTAAATGGATATATGTTGGTAGAGAGGTAGATGATTTTAAAAGCATTCATGGTGGCTATGACTTTGGAACAACCAATGAAGGTTGTAAAAGACCATATTAGATTTTTCTTTAATTTATAATTTTGTAATTGCTAATATCTTATTTAACAAAAGAGATGAGCCTCTCATCACTTACAAGAATGGATATAGTAAAACTTAGATTGATTATTTTCTTATAAGAAAATAAATTGTTTATATTGCAATGATTGCGATGTTATTTCGAGTGAATATTAATGCCCCCAATATCACCCATTAGTTTTGGACTTTAAGATAAATGGCATAAAATAAAAAATAAAGCATATCATTGTTTTAGGATTTTAGATGGGACATTTAAATAATATTAACAAAAAATATTTTGAGAGTAAGATTCTAGATCTTAAGATTTTGTCTGTGTACAAGGAAGTTAATGTTATGTGAAAAAAAATAGCTAGTAATATCAAAAATATTGCAAAAAATATGCTTGAATTAGAGTATCAAAAGGAAAAATTTAGTAATCATAAAATAAATACTGGTGCAATCAAAATTTTCATGAAAAGATAAAAAATTAGAAATTTTCTTTTAAAAATTAGTTTAGCTGTAAAAAATCTGATAATTGGGAAAGATATAAAGTGGCCCGTAAGGAGTGTATGAAAACAAATTGCAAGGCAAAAATTTTAGCTTTTAATGATTTATATAATAGATTAGATACTAAGGAGGCCGAAAGATACATATATTAGTTAGCTAAACAAAGAGATAGGAGTAGTAAGGATTTAATTCAAGTGAATTGTATTAAGGATGAAGATCAAAAAGTGCTTTTATTAGAAGAGGATATTCAACAAAAGTGGATGAGATATTTTGTTAAACTTTTCAATAAAGAATATGAGAATGCGATTGACTTTAGTGACCTTAGCAGCCTAAATGAAAATAAAAATTTTTATTTTTATCGACGTGCTGGTGGCCGGCATTTTTGAAGAAAATGGTGGCCGACAGTTTAGATGGAGAAGTGGTGGTGGCCGGCATTTTTGAAGGGGTGGGGATCGTGGCCTACAGTTTGGAGGGGAAGGAGATGGTGGCAGCCGGTTTGGAAGGGGAGGGGGGAGTGGACCGTTAGCCCGGATGCTTCTTGCAACTGATGGGTAGTACTTTGTCCTCACCTTGGGCCTTCACTCTCACAAGAACTCTCAAGCTCTCCCAAAACACAAGTGCACAAATTTTCTTTCATAACATTCATCATTACCCCGCTCCAAAGAGGAGGGGCTATAAATAGTCAAATACAATAGTAAAATAAAAAGACAAAAGTGCCCCACGCGGTCACATGAACCTACTCACTCAAGTAAGGATAAAAACAGAAAAGATACAATAATAAACCAAATATAAATAATATCTCAAAAATAGAGTGGTGTAATCATGGCTGTGTATCTCTGGCATCTCCTCTGGTAAACTCTCCACCGTCGGATGTCCTCATCATAGGTGCTAGCACTCTGCAGCATGCGGGGAAGTGTTTGGCAACATCTTCCGTTAGGATAGGGAGGAGATGCATGCTGTTCCAGAGTGACGGAGAGGGACTTGTAGTTTAAGCTGGGAGAAAATGCGTTATTGAAAACTTACCCCATGCCCTCTTTTTATAGTTTTAATTTGTCAGGTTGTTGAGGAGGTAAGGCTATGTGGGGTCTTGAGCAGCGGGGTCCAGGTTCAGGTCGGTAGATAGGTTGGGTTTTGTTTTTTATTATTTTTTGTTTTTTTTGTTCTTAACACAGATTGTTCCATCAAGGACCTTGGTGAAGAACTTTTATATGTGGAGATCAAAATTTAGGATTTTATATGTGGAGATCAAAAGAGGAACTTTTAAAGCGCCCCTTACAATTTAAGAACTTGGTTATAGTTTATTTTAATATTGCTATATTAATTTGATTCTATGTTGAGGAATTTCTTACATTATTTATAAACAACAATTTATATGCAACTTTTTTTTAAGAAAGGTCTTTTTATTAAATTTGGCTTAATTTTTAATGTTTTATAGCTATGGGTAATCGGCATTCTTTTTTTTTTTTTTTCTTTTCTAACTGTACGAATTCTGAATAGATCTTCTAAGCAGCGAGCTTGTTTGCTAGCTTCTATGTCGTTTTTATTTAATTTTTAACTAGAAGTTGTTTCTCTGTTGCAGGTTCAATGGAATGTTTGCCATGCTTTGAGCAACTTGTTCCTGAATAATACATTAAGGCTGCATGATATGCACTGGTAAGTAGATCATGCATGGCTTTCTAATTTCATCATTTCATAGGAATACAGTTTATCAATTTCATAAAACACTTAATTTAGTTTTTTTTAATTAAATCCTTCGAAATTAGTAAGGATGTCACAAAATTGTTCATGTTAGTTGGAACATTTCAGGCTAAATATCCAGACTCAATCACATTGTTCTTATGTTATTTGTGTCGGAATATATTTTTGAAAATTTGTGTATCTGCAACTACTCATGTGCTTTTTGTGCATTTGTATAAAAAGAGTACTCTTTTTTATTCATTATCTGTCTTTTTCTAGTCTTATAAGAAATATTTGTATACCTTCTAAACTTGTATTATTCTCTATTCATTCTCGTTGAGTATCACATATTAATTCTATTTTCGGCAAGTATTTTTCAATAAATAATAATCATATTCTCTTTAGTCTTATTTTTCGTTCCTGATCCTGCAACATTAATTCTAACTGCTTGATGCCTAGGTTGTGCACATAAAATTTGTCTGTTTTCTTCTTCTTTATCTTTAAATCACTACTTCATTCTCTCCATGATCTGAATTTCTTAGCTTTGTGGGGTTCTAAATTTTTTTCCTTGGCTCTACTGAGAGAGCTCTGTGTTTTTCAGATCAAATTGTTAGAAGCTAGATTAATTATAAATAGGACACTATCCAGAGTTTTCATCCTCATTTTGCGAGAACATTAAGATTTGTCTTCAGGTTTTCTACAGATGTCTCTATAGTTAATTATCCTTACTTGCAGTGATCGCTGAACTTACTTGCAGTGAGAGAGGACATTCGATTAGAAGCTAAATGCTTGGTGTATAATTGTTGCAAATTTCATATAAGGTTGGATATTTACCACTTTAAATTAAAATTGGAAGGTGGGGATTGATGATGAATCTGATAGGAAATACTTAAGTTCGCAAGTAACCCTAAGGAATACGTGAGTCCACAAGCAAACCTAATCACAATTTGAGTAGCAAACAGCAAGAAAAACTGCTGTTTTCCGCAGTGGACAGTAGGAAATCACAGGAAAACAGCGAGATCTAGTGAGAAAAATTGATAGAAACTCACAAGAATACTTGTACTTCACTAGTAGACAAATAAAATAGCAAAGATACAATTTGTTCTTCGATCCGAGAGGAAGAACAACTCTCCAATCTCCGGCAACGCCAAGAGCCCAAAGCAAGAAACCCTAGATCTCAAATTCTAATTCAAATTCAAGATGCCCTCTCCTTTCCCCCTAATTATCATTAAAGGAGGATTACAAATTACCTAATCACCCTTAAAATTCAAAATTTTCCCCCCAACATTTGCATTAAGCCCATGATTCCGCATTTATTTCTGTGGTGTGATTTGGTTTATGCAATTTTCTTTCTTTGTGAAAAAAGTTTTTAAAATACTCGCACCCCCCCCCCCCCCCCCCCCCCCCGTGCTGTGCTCGCCGCTTGGAATAAACCAAGACCGGTCCCTGCTGGACCAGTTTAGCCAGCCCAGGATGGGCCGGCGGCATATCAATACTCCCCTCCAAAAAACTCAACTTGTCCTCAAGGTGAAAGGAAGGGAATTGCTCTTTCATTTGGTCCAATGGCTCCCAAGTAGCATTGAAATCGGGAAGACCTCTCCGCATAATCAGCACTTCTTTGTTGCCATCTTTATCTGATCTTACGCCTGTAAGCTCCAGAGGTTCTAATATCACTTCCAAATCCTTAGTCAGTGTCTCAGGTAAATCTGTATTAACAGCATGCTCCCCTATAGCTCTCCTTAGCTGTGATACATGAAAAACTGTATGTATAGTAGCTGATGGGGGCAACTTCAATCGGTACGCCACAGCGCCGATCTTGTCCAACACTTCATAGGGGCCGAAGTACCTTGGTGCCAATTTCTTGTTCCTCCTCGCCACTGTCCTCTGGTTGTAGTGTCGTAGTTTTAGGAAGACTTTCTCCCCAACTTCAAACTGCATGTCTCTTCTGTGTGAATCTGCCTGCTTCTTCATGAGTTGTTGAGCCCTCAGCAGATGTTTCTTCAAATCTTCCAGCACCTTGTCCCTTTCTTCCAGATACTGCCCAACTGAAGATACCTGTGTATTTCCTTTCCCATAGTGCACTAGGTGTGGTGGGTCTCTTCCATACAGCACCTTGAAAGGCGTCATCTGAGCTGCAGAATGATGCGAGGTATTGTACCAATACTCTGCCCAAGGCAGCCACTTCGCCCACCTCCGCGGTGTTTCAGAAGCGAAACACCTCAAATAAGTCTCCAGACTTCGATTTACTACTTCTGTCTACCCATCTGTCTGTGGATGGTAGGCGGTGCTTCTCTTGAAGATAGTCCCTTGCAACCTGAACAATTCTTTCCAAAACTGACTGAAAAATACCTTATCTCGATCTGACACTATTGATTCAGGAATTCCATGCAGTCTAACCACTTCCCTGATAAATGATGCTGCCACTGACACAGCGGTGTAGAGGTGTCGCAATAGGATAAAATGTGCATACTTACTGAGAGTGTCCACCACCACCATGATAACAGTATATCCTTCTGATCGCGGCATGCCGTCGATGAAATCCATGGACACTTCCTCCCATACTCTGTTCGGAAGTGCCAAGGGTTGCAGTAGACCCCCTGGAGCCATAGCCATGTATTTGTTCCTTTGGCACATTTCACATCTCGCCACCATCTCCTCTACATCTTTATGCACCCCCTTCCAGTAGAGCTTAGATGCCAGCCTTCTATATGTCTTTTGTACCCCTGAATGACCTCCCACAGCACTGCTATGGAACTCCTGCAACATATGGGGGATATGTATTGATGTTCTTGGCATCACAAACCTCCCTTGATACAACAACCTTTCCCCTTCAATGTAATAACCTGGATGGCTCTTCATTCAGCATGCTCTCCTCTTATCTTTCATCAGATCCTCCCGAATTTTCTTTAGCTCTTCATTCAGCATGCTCTCCTCTTTGATGGTTCCCCAGTCTACCATCAGTGGCACTGATATAGCTAACTCTTGAAGCTCCCCCACACATCTGGATAAAGCATCAGCTGCTTTATTTTCCAAGCCTGACCTATACTGGATCTCAAAATCATACCCTAATAACTTGGATAACCACCGCTGATGCTCCTCAGTGACTATTCTTTGCTCCAATAGGTACTTAAAGCTTTTCTGATCGGTCCGGACAATGAAATGTCGTCCCAAAAGATAGGGTCGCCACTTCTGAATCGTCAAGATAATGGTCATCAGCTCTCTCTCTCATACACTGACTTCAGCCTTGCCCTGATTGACAGCACTTGACTAAAGTATGCTATAGGCCTGTGGTTCTGCATCAATACTGCCCTCAGTCTATATCCTGATGCGTCCGTCTCCACCATAAAGGTCTGACTGAAATCTGGGAGAGCTAAAACGGGCACTGTCGTCATAGCCTCTTTCAATTTTTCCAAGGCCTGAGTTGCTGCTTCTCCACATAGGAAGTTGTCCTTCTTTAGCTGCTCAGTCAACGGTCAGGCAATGGAGTTGTACCCCTTCACAAATCGTTGGTAGTACCCAGTCAAACCTAGGAACCCTCTCAGCTCCCTTATGTTCCTAGGCCTTGGCCATTTCTGCATTGCCTCTATTTTACTCAGATCTGCTGCAACTTCTTAGGATACCACATAGCCCAAGTACTCCACACTTGTTTGGGCAAAGCTGCACTTCTTCAGATTGGCCTTTAACTGGTGCTCCTATAGGACTTCCAGAACCGCCCTCAAGTGTTCCAGATGTTCCCCTACAGTTTTGCTGTACACCAGAATATCATCAAAGAAGACCAGGACGAACTTCCTGAGGTACTGCTTGAATATTCTCTTCATCAAGGATTGAAAAGTGGCAGGAGCATTAGTCAACCCAAATGGCATCACCAGAAACTCATAATGCCCTTCATGTGTCCTGAAAGCTATTTTTGGTACATCAGATTCCTTCATCCTGATCTGGTGGTAACAAGATTTTAAATCCAGCTTCGAGAACAACATAGCCCCATGCAGCTCATTAAGTAACTCATCAATCACCGGAATTGGGAATTTGTCTGGTATAGTGCCCTTATTCAGAGCCCTGTAATCCACGCAGAATCTCCAACTCCCATCCTTCTTTTTGACCAGGACTGGGCTAGAAAAAGTGCTAACACTCGGCCTGATGATCCTCGCCTCCAGCATCTCCCGGATCAACTTCTCAATCTTGTCCTTCTGAATCTGTGGGTAACGGCAAGGACGGACACTGATTGGTGTCTCCCCTTCCTTCAAAGTAATGGCGTGCTCTAGTTCCCTCTGGGGTGGTAAACCCTGCGGGGGTTGAAAAACCTCACTGAACTGATGTGCGAGGGGCTGTACTGAGGAGGGAATAGTGCCTTCTTCCTCAATTCTGATGCCTTCCAATTGGTGTAACTCCACCAAGTAGCCTCCCCCTTCCTCCTGGATGGTCCGGATTAGGGATTTGAGCGACACCCCAGCCTTGGTTAGCCCAGCATCTCCTTGGATCACCTTTCTTCTCCCGCTATCACCAGCTCCATCTTCAAAGTTCCCCAATTGATCTTGGTCCACCCCAAAGTCTGCAGCCATTTCATCCCAAGGATGACATCCGTATGTGGGCTCCGAAAATTCGGCCCCGGCCTCCTCGCCATGCAACTGATTTGCTGCTTTTTTCTTTTTCTTTTAGCGAGGGGAGTTTTAACGGAATTAAGTCCGGGGTAAATTTTGGAAGGCAGATGGGTTTGTAGATAAGACACTACCCAGAGATTTCGTCCACATTTTGCGAGGACTTTATGATCTGAGTTCTGCTTTCCTATAGGCGAAGCCCCTATAGTTAATTACCCCTCTCGATCACGAGAGAGAACTTTCGATTAAGACTAGTCGTCAATCAGATACGTGGATAATACGTGTTATCTGGCATATAGTAGCAGCATTGGGTATTGGTATTTAGTAATTTGAAGAATTTAGAGGATTTGATACTTAAAATAGAAATTGCACCATCTTGCA